AGGGGGGGGGGCGTCAGGCTGTCGAAAAATCCGCGCGGAGAGACAAACCTTAAGCTGAAACCAAGACAAGCTATACTAACCAAGACAATCCATAAAACACGCCGGCAGGCCGGCGGATTTCCCCACCTGTAAGGTGAGGGTTGTTAGATTGTATGTCAGCTGCCTTGCTCCTCCTCCTCGTCCTCGTCCTCCTGGTCCTCCGCCTCCTCAACCGCAAATGTCGGATGGCAGTGTTCCCCGCCGGACCTCCACCGCGATGGCCACGTGGCAGTGCTCCCATGCGAGATAGAATGTCAGAGGATATGCCAGAAAGCATGTGAGAAGAGATGCCAGGAATGTCAGAAGATATGCCGGAAATAGTGTCAGAAAGCATGTCAGATGAATGAATGTCAGAAGACATGCCCGCAAGATTGCCAGAAGATATGCAAGAAAGCATGTCAGGCAGAATGTCAGAAGATATGTAAGAAAGACCGCCGAAATAGTGTTTCAATACTTGCCAGAAAATTTGTCAGATTGAAATGTCATGGTTGGGGTTACTCGAAGTAAAAGTTTGTTTCCTCCCCGAACTCCTTTCACCAAGTTGGAGCCAGGCAAATCCAACACACATTTGTGTTTGAGGAGAGTGCCATTTTGCGCATCATCCTGCAGGCGGCCAGCGAAACATCATAACCATCTCACAATTTGGAATATTGAGCCACTAATCCTATCTGCATATGGCCCTATTGATCACAATCGCTTGAGGTGATCTTGATTGATCATTCAAGTCCCATGTCCAAGGTCCAAACCTCCGGCATCGCACTCAGTGTGGAGGAAACCCCGCTGCGGATGGCAAAGTTTAGGCCTAGGTCCGTGTCCAAATGGTAAATTTTGATCAATTCCTAGGTGTATCCTTTGCACGCGCGCAGGCCCTCAGGGATAATGGACAGCACGCCACGACAAACACGACAGCCGACAACAACCAATGACAAACGTATTATATAACAATGAAAACACCAAATGCAACCACAACACACCGTGCCCCAGGGATGCCTCGCCAGTCACCCCGACCCAGTCATCCTACCACTGTACTTTTGGCGGGTGGGGATAGAACAAAATAGATACAATTTTTTGTGTCTTTGGTTTGGTGAGATATTTTTAACGAATCGTTCTGGGTGATTTTTCCCCCAAACAGTGTGGACACACTTAGGGGTTCTTACGGTAGGTGTTAAGCAGCTGTGCTTAGATGGCTGTGCCGCGCGGCCGTGTCCGGCTAATTCGCTGCTATTTACAGTACTTTCATGTCTTTCAAAATCCTCGATGTGCATTTCGACTCCGCAGGCTCGCGGAATCTGGGTGGCGGCGGCGACTGCGCTCTCGCTGCGGCGCCGTGCAGCACTTTGTGAACCTCGAAGCGCAGAATTTGTGGCAGGCACAGCACTTTGTGAACCTCGAAGTTCTGATTTCGTGACAGGCGCCGCACTTTGTGAACCTCGATGCGCAGATTCTGTGGCAGGCTCAGCATTTTGTGAACTTCGAAGTGCTGATTTCGGAGCTGGCGCAGCACTTTGTGACCTCGAAGTGCTTTTTTCGTGGCAAGCGCAGCACTTTGTCAACCTCGATGTGCAGATTTCGTGGCAGGCACAGCACTTTGTGAGACTCGAAGTGCAGATTTCGTGGCAGGCGCAGCACTTTGTGCTCTCTGAACCTCACCTCTCGCTCTCGCTCACACATACTCACACACACACACACACTCACTCACCTCGCTGTCTCACTCTCTCACACACACACACTCACCTCACTCTCACTCATACTCACTCTACTCCACTCACACTCACCACCACCGCCACCATCACCACGACCTCCACCTTCAACACCACCATCACCTCTCTGGCCCCCAGTGCATCTAGATCTCCAGACTTTTTGCGGCTACACCTCTAGGCCCCACACGCACTGTTTGGGGTCTCTTGCCGGGATAACTGACCTGTTTTGCCAAGTTCCGCTGCAGCAATTCCCAGGAACCATGCCACGTGGGTGATGCCGACCGTGGACCGTGATGAGTACTTCCGGGTCACCGGACCGAACGAACTTTTCGGCACCCCTTCAGTGCCGAAGAATTATTTCCACACCGTGTGGGATGCCATTGTTCGCCATGAAGGCTGGAGGGTGGTCTGGTTCCTGGTAGAAAACAAGGAGAACCCCGCCGCAGCTGGTGTTTTGGGAGGTCTCGCTAGGGGCGCACACAGCGCCATTGTGAGATTTCGGATCATGAATATAGACCTTATCTTGATTTGGGGTTCGATATGGTTTGATAGGTTGAAACTTACGGATAGGTTGAAGCTTGCGCCGTGTTATTTGGTTGCAACATGCGGGAATTTGGCTTATAGACCTGGGTGTCTCAAATGATATAGGGAGGAACTCCAATTACCATAGAATTCGTGTGGGGAAAGTAGATTCATTTTCCCATCACATCCCATCAGAAGATACATGAAAATCAAACGATTCCAAATCTACATAAAATAGGTGTGTCATGGGGTCTCGGTCTGAGAGGGTTGGTGTGAATAGATTCCATCAACCATGTAGGGGAGCCACAATGTGCCACATGCCCAGTGCGGGAGGCAAACGAGAGGAGGACGTGAAGAGCATCACCTTTGACCTGTACCGCTTCGAGCTGCCCTCGCGGGACGAGCTGACCATTAGTTCGACTATGCGACAAGCAGAGACACAGGCGGCACCCTTCAGCAGGGGCGAGGGCAAGAAAGGCTGGCCCAAATTTGTGACTTGGTTGAGTTAGTCCGTGCTGTTGGGCTGGAGTCATTTTTGTTCTTGGTTGGTTGGGTGTGATGAGATTCCCGGGATGGAGTGGAACTGAAATGAACTCCAGGCGCGACCGCGCTGCGCACAGGTCTACAATGTCAAGAACGCGAACTCCGTGTACGTCCATTGGGTCCACAGTTCGGTGCATGGCACGGAGGATCTTCATATTTCGCCCAGCTTGGGAGTCGCCAACCACTACCGTTCACCCTTTGACTTTGATGAGCACGAGTTCCCAGCAAATGTTTCGGATACCACGTTGCAGACAGATGTCGTGGCCTTGGAAGAGGCCCTTTTGTTTCTCGTGTCGAGATTTAACTTGGCCCACATACTGTGTTAAAAGACGGTGCTGACTCAGGCCGAAAATCAGGTCTCCAGTTAGGTGGATCCAGGTTTCTCAGAGTCATGCCATGTCCCATGCAGGCTTTGGCCGCACGCTTCCAACGCAACCCGCGCGAGTTTTTGAAGTACCTCAGCCACAAGCACCCTGCGCCTGATGTACCCGAATCCAACTGGTTCGCTGCCACAGATCGGCTTCCAACATCCTGGAAGGCTGCGCTGCCCGAGTATATTCCAGTTGACTGGTTTGGCGGCGCTGCCGGGCACAACCTCCTTGCTGAGAATGGCATTTTTGACCAGCTTAAGCGAGATGACCTGCAAATGTTTGGGTAAGACTTTTCGCAGCTTCACTGTTTCACTCAGCAGTTTCACGAAAAAATGATCGGAAAAAGAACATTGGCCGGTGGTGACTGAGGCAGGCAGTAGCAGTAGCATCGAAAACTGGAAAGACACATTGAAGTCAATCACAACATATCACAACCCCCTATGGATCCACATACCTTCTGAGAAGGTGATTGGAATATTAACCCCAGAGGGGCCATTGCATCCATATAACACAGATGATTATAGAGACAATGGGGAAAATAACTTAACGACAATGCTGTATATGATGGACGGCTGACACCTTGGTACCGCAGCCACGATTCACATGTGCATGTCAATGAGATTAGACATGATTAGACCAACATAGTTGATCCCAAAGTGTCCACATTGATCCAAATATGAAGTTGGTGATCGTTGGTGAGCTCTTCAAAACAGTCAAGCTCTTGTCTAGCTATCCTAACAATCATCACCCTGTGGCCCAATGAATCGGGCCTGGTGGGTTCGAGGATACGTCCGTGTCATGTTTCCTCTTGGGACATTTCTTGAAACAAGTGTTGTCTTTTGGCATCTTTTGGCATATTTCGTCTTAGGCGTGATCACAGCCACACTTGTTTTGGAAACCTCGACAAGTCTAGTTTGGCATATAGCCGAGAGGCAATATCTTTCCTATTTCAAAGTCTATTAAGCACATAGGGCGGTGCCACTGCACGAACATCAGGACCATGGCGCAGTCAGAACCCTTTCCTTCATGCACAGCAGCTCTTTGCAAGAGACCGGGAGGTGCAATACAAACTTCTATATGATTGCATTGTGTTTGCAGCCTTCAGCCGCGGGTGGATCTAGGATTTGGATGCTGCTTGCAGCCATTTTGGCAGGAGCCAGCTCATTTGGATTCATTTGGTGTGATTTTCTTTGCAGCTCGGGAGGTTTGATAAGCTCGCTTTCAAACACTTACACAGCCTTCAATGAACACCCTACGAATGCCGAACTGAGCTTCGTGCAGACGAAAAAGAGAGTCATTGAAGTGGGTGGCCTTGCATCACATACATCACTTTGTGAGGCTGATGCACATATTTCGCGACAAAGAGTGGATGGTCTTTTTCTGTGCCAAACCAATTGCCTGCGTCTTGCCAAACACCGCTGCAACCACAAACACCGGAACTGATGAGCTATGGGGGAAGCAGCTTCCAGGTGGGAACCGCCGGAACCGCCACGAACTGCATCTAGTCCCCACCCGAGTTGTGGGAACATGTTGCAAGAAAATACCCCAGCTGTGGTGTGCTGCTAAAAGTTTTGGAGATTTGTAATGCCCATGCTTGCAAATACTGGATGCTTTTTTTCGGAACATTGATGACAAGGAGGTTGTTGTTTTCCCTGTTTTGCTTGAGGGTTGCATTCGCGGAACATGCTTTGGTCGGTCGGATCCTATGGGATGCTGGACCAGTATAATACTCAATATAATGCTTTGTGTCGATCCGGTAGGATTCAATCAGATCCACTGCAATCGTTCAAAGCACCAGATCGGAAGAATTGCCCTTTAAATCCCCTAATGGCCGACTCGCCCCCTTTTTCGCGCAGCCACGCGACATTCTTCGATCATCCCTGATGATATTAAGCTTACAGAATACAGGGGGTTAACCCTCCTACAGAATGCTCATTTGGAAGGGGTTTGGTCGCACGACCCCTGTGGTTGGGATGCCAGCATTTTGTAGGCAGGTAGGATGTGGTGGAACTTGGTGGGCGTGCCTGGGTCTTGCTGGTGTGTTGACTGTCGTTGATGATTTTCATATGCATTCATCGTCACTACTAAATGAGTACCTGATTTCTGCATGGCATACCATTTTGTAGCAATCAGAGACCTTGGCCCCCCCCATTTTGTAGCATTGGCCTAGCCCCTCCCTACAAAATGGGTCAAAATTTTCTAGAGTCATTTGTAGGGATGGAACGTTGGTCGCTGTCATTTTGTAGTGATATTTACTACCAAATAGGGGCCCCGACCCCTCACCCTGAATATCAACGATGATCTTCGATCTCATTTGTTGAGAAGAGCCATTGAATCTGGCATGGTCAACCCTAAATGGATGGCCGACCTCGTATTTAGTTGGAGGCCAGCGCTTTAGGTTGGAGGCCAGCCATGGCTCTTATGTTGGAGGGCAGCCATCGCTCTTAGGTTGATGGCACATCGATCTCACCGGTCGGCCAAGGCCTGGGGACTATCATGAGCCACAGCTCCCGAAGCATGTCTTCGAGGCGTCTCGGACTTTGCTGTGCGAGACGCAGTGAGCACTGTCGGCATTGGAAGAAGATCGTTTCTTTTGGAAGAAGACTCGGTTTAACTTGGAAACCCCAAACAGGTGCAACTAGCACTGGTTCTACAATTGCAGGTGGGATTCCTGGCTCAGTTCTTAGATGTGTTTTGTTTCCCATGTTTATTGCCGGAACCTAAAGCTTTTGAGAAATGTTGACATGTGCTTTGCCATTGCAGCCAAGATGTCCTCTTCTTGCTTCCAGCAAGTTGTTTGCTGATGCACGAGGCCCGCACTAACAGAGGTGACAATGAGAATCCACCATCACCATCCATTCTTGGGCATCAGGCAAGCAGGCATCATAGATTGTGCAGGATGGACTGTGCATCAAGGGTAGGTCACATCTCGATCAGTCTCCATAAAATGCCATGGAACATGTTCTTCCCCCAAACTCCTTTGTCCAAACCTGTTCATATTGCCTGGGTTTCAACAAGTCGTCTTCCCAGATGCCGTGAACTCCAAAAAGCCCGGCCAGGTCAGGTTGTCGATCTACACCTTTGACTTAACAGGTGTCAGCCTGCTGAACTCCCTGAGCTCCAATGTCACAGGCGCCACGGGGGGTCGCCGTTGCCACAATGGTTCGGTGTGATGTTGTTTTGATAATGTTATAATTTGGATATGATTGGTGTGACATGGATACCTATGGAAGTCGCGCTGCCACTTGTAAGTGGAAGCGATGTTGAGTGTTGTTTTCCAGATTCTATCTATTTGTGTATGTATATCTATTTGTTTGTTTGTCTGTCTATCTATCTATCTACCTACGGTGTTACCGTATGTAATCCGTATGTATACTGTAATTTTTGAAGTTGAATTGAATTTGCCTACCGAATCCATAATACACATTTTTTGTGTTCCGGCAACCGGCGCCGGCAACCGGCACCGGCACCGGCAACCGGCCGGCCACCGGCACCGGCAACCGGCGCCGGCAACCGGCACCGGCAACAAACCGGCGCCCGCCACCGGCCACAGTGTACCGGAACAGCGCACCGGGAATCGGCAACAGGGCCGCGGTAAATGTCAACTCGCCTTGAGTAATCGGACACGGCTGCGCAGCAGCGATCATACCTTTGGACTGTCGTGTGATAGAAAGAGCAAACGCATATGTACAGTTAAGACCCAGCAAAGAAGCAGAAAAGATATAAATAGATACCCAAAGAAAGATAGATGAAGATAGACAGATTAGATTACAATAGATTAAGTGAGATAATGCCAGGTTAGGTTAGATTAGATGAGTTTGATGTAGGTAGGAAGGTAGATAGATAGATAGATAGGTAGATAGATAGATAGAATAGATAGATTAGATGGATGAAATAGATTAGATAGATAGATAGATAGATAGATAGAAAGATAGATATATAGATAGGCAGGTAGATAGATAGATAGATTAGATAGATTTGATTGATTGATTGATTGGTAGATAGATAGATAGACAGATAGACAGATAGATAGATAGACAGAGAGATAGATAGATTAGATAGATAGATTAGATAGATAGATAGATAGATAGGTAGGTAGATAGATAGATAAAAAGATAGATAGATAGATAGAGCGAGAGAGAGGTAGATAGATAGAGAGAGAGAGGTAGATAGATAGATAGATAGACAGACAGAGAGATACATAGATTAGATTAGATTAGGTTGGATTAGGTTAGATTAGATTAGATTAGATTAGGTTAGATTAGATAGATAGATAGATAGAGAGATAGACAGATAGATAGATAGATAGACTAGATAGATTAGACAGATTTGATAGATTAGATAGATAGATAGATGGATAGATAGATAGATAGACTGATTGATTGATAGACAGATAGATAGATAGACAGATAGATAGATAGGTAAGATATATTGTTGATTGCATGATTGATTGATTGATTGATTGATAGACAGACAGATAGGGCAAGCAGACAGAGACAGACAGACGGACACCGGCCACCGGCCACCGGCGCCGGCCGACCGGACAGCAAAGGGGCATTGCCCGCCCACCGGCACCGGTGCCGGCCACCCGCGCAGCCACCGGCGCCCGCCGCAGGCGGCACGGTGTACCGGACCGACCAGCGCACAGGGAATCCGGCGGACACAGACAGACGGACACCAGTCATCGGCCACCGGCACCGGCACCGGCCACCGTCTCCGGCACCGGCGCGGGCAGCGGCTGCCGGGCAACGGTGACAGCCACCGGCCACCGGC